ACGGGGTTTTTTTATCATCCCTCAAGTGGGGCCGCCAGCATATACCGCAAAATGTTTTTAGTAGGATCCTCATGATAAGGCACCCCTAGTTTTCCACTACATCCCAAAAGCCTGAGAACCCTGAACCCTAAACCCACCCACCCCCCAACCCCAAATCTGCCATGTTACCCACCACCCACTCAATTACGCGGAAGTAGGGATCAAAAGCCTCGGAAGAGATGCCTGCCAAAGCTGCCTTCCTGAGATTAGGATTACTACAGGGGCCTGAATGATTACCAATATCATTGTGAGGGCCATTTGAGGTACCATACACCATAGTTCTATAAGGAATATGGAACCATAATATTGGAAATCATTTAGGCCCCTATACTAGGGGTTTGAGGGTTCAGTTGCTCAGGGCTTTGGGATTCAGGGCTAAAGGCTGTAGGATTTGGTGCTTACAGCGTTTATAGGTTTTAGGGAGCCGCCTTCGTGAGATGGGAGGGATACCACTAGGCCCCTTCTAAATTGGGGAGACTTGGGGGGCATAGGACAAATAACGAAATACATATATACATATATATAATATATACATGCACAAACTGTACACACAGTTTATGTCATCTATATGTATCTATATATATATATTTACAGATGAGGGGTTTCGTTCAGGGTCTGGGGCTCAGGGTGCAGAGCCTAGGCTTTTAGAGTTGAGAGGGGGTAGACAAAATGGAATACAAGCGCATTACTCACCGCAATGTAGACCCATGATTCATCAACCCCCTCCCCTTAGTAATTAGAGATTACAATAGGGATCCTAACATCAAGGCCCTGAAAAGGAGGGGGGTTATTAATCATGGGTCTGCATTAGGCTTCTCTTTGCGGTACGTAGTAGTGAGATCCTTGGTCTGAAAGAGCGCAGGATTGAAACACCAAGGTACCAGCGAATTCATCGCTGCATGTGGGATTATATATACATATTATATACATACGTACATGTTGTATCCTTATTTAACCCCTCCTATATAACCCCCTTTAAGGAGTCTAGACTACAGCTATTGGTGTTGAGGAGCCTGCACAATAGTTGCGCCGTTTTATTTTATGATTTTCGCATATTTTCAAGTGCTAAGCCTAAGCAATGTCCATGGACCACCAAACCTTTCTATCTGAGTTGAAGAAGGAAGCGTGTGTGGTTCTTGTACCTCCAAAGATTTCAAACAGCGCATAGCACCTTGCCTCCTATACCTAAGGAATGCGGCCATGTGCGATCCCATCAACCCTCCAGCCTCGCAGCTCCTGTGCACAGGCACAAATTCTCCCGGTTGGCAGGGTGATCTTTCTCCCCTGCTTTTGCTACAACCGTGGGTGTACTGCCCAAGGCCTCAAAACCACCCCATTTAGACACCGCCGATTTTGCCGCCAATTTTTCCGCCGATTTTGCCGCCGATTTTGCGCCAATTTTTCTAGGTCGCAAAATTAATCATTAGACAAATTAGCCGAAAATTGGCGGCAAAATTAGCAGCAAAATTAGCACTGTCTTTAGGCGTGGTGAAAACCGGGCACCACACCCAGATTTGCCTGCCCCAATTAATCGACTCTTTGGCTGCGTGCCCTTCCGGACATGGCACGATGAAATTCCACGGCAAGCTTTGAGACAAGGCTTTGGAATCTGATCCTGAACCGAAATATCTGGGCCGGTGCCTCAAACGGTGCACATGGTCAGTAGTCACGTGGAAGACTAACGGGCTCTGACATGGACGGGGCTGGAGGAATAGTAGCGCAGGAAATTTGGACCCGACGGTACGCGAAGGCTTCCGCAAAACATGAATCGTCGAAGTGGCACAAAATTCCATTCAAAATAGAATTGGCAAACACTTGGCTCTGCAACCCTCCAACCATAACAGCTAACGTAGTCGTGATGAGTTTTACGGCCTACTGTCCTTGCCAGCCCTTGAAGTGGTCGAGCATGGGGGCAATCGTGGCAATGCTGCTGGCTTGAGCTCGTTGGGAAGCTTCGGAGGCCAGATGTCAACAACAGGCCCAATGCTGAGATCCCCCCTATATACCCCCGTATTACCCCCAATATTAGCCCTATAGGGATACCTCAAACGCAAAAAGGCTTTGAGACCAGGACACTGAGCCCTAAACCATGCCAGGGAGCTGCAAGGGAGTTATCTTATCATCCTCATGGATGGACAACCAGGGAAAGTTGGGTGGAGTGAAGGCCTGCAGGTTCTCCAGCTCCCCCGTGTCAAGCAGCGACCACACCACGTTATCGTGGCCCGATTTCATGGCGCTCGCTCAAGCCAGCTGCTGCGCGGGTACGAGCAGAAGACACATGCATGGGAAGTTCTCAAAATTATGCTCTTTTTTGGACACCCCTAATTCACTCAGTAATCCCTATACATGCCCAGAGTCCCTAAGGGCCCCCTGTTGTAGAAACTCCCATGTAATTCTCAGAGTCGCATCAATCCGGCTCACTGGCAGCATGGGGGTATTGTTGAGAATTTCTGGACTGCTACAGGGCTCCATTCCTCCAGTTCTCACCGATCACCACTTGTGAGCTAGTGCTACAGGATGTAGTCCTGGAGGATCCAGCAACGACTGGGTGCGCTCAGCACCGGGCGACCGAAGGCCGAGTACATCACGACGCAAACTGAAACCTCAACGTATTGGTTTCCATTTTCTTTTCCATTATCCCAATATAAACCCAATATTATCCCAATACATACCCTGTTATACTATAGTAGTTTCCATTTTCTTTTCCATTATCTCAATATGACCCCAATATCCCTAAATCCTACATCCTAACCCCCTGTAGGGTCAACGACGGCACTTGGCGAGGTAAGAACGGTAGTGCAAAGTTTGGCCGCTTGGGCAGGAAAACCCTTGAGCTCCAACATTGTCCAAGGTTGAAGACGGGATATGTTAAACCCAGTAATAGGGTTTAGGGTTTAGGGTTATGTAGGGATAATGGAAAATCAAATGGAAACTACTATTCAGGGTTCAGGGTTTAGGGGTATAGATTAGGTGGACCCCCCACCCAGTAATAGTGACTATAAGGGATAATAAAGACTATATTAGGGCCCTACTATATGCCTACTGTACCACCATTACAGGGTGGGGGGTCCTCCCAAGGGATATGGGAGTCTCCCACAAGTAGGAATACCTTTTTGGGGGGGTCCCTATAATAAGGACTCTCGTAATTGGGGGTCTATATTGAGGTCCCCCTATTCCATGAAACTACCTTTTGTCTTGCAAACCCTAGACCCTAAACCCTGGGCTGAGTGCTCTGCCAGCAAACCCTTCCCGAACAAGTCACGGTTGAACGGCACTTGCCTGTGCAGTGGTCATGCAGGTGTAATAGTGATAATAGTAATAATGATAATAATAGTAATAGTAATAGTAATAGTAAGAGTAAGAGTAAGAGTAACAGTATTAGTATTAGTATTAGTACCAGTAGCAGTAGTAGTAATTGAAATAGTAATGGTAAAAAAGTAGTGCTAATGATATTAATACTCTAATAGTTAGTTCAATAGGGTAGCATGATGCGCATGCAACTTATTGAATTTGACCGAGTCAGCAAGGAAACTCCCGACAGTCCACGAACCTGCAGTCTCTTGTCCTGTAATCGTGGAAACATGAAACACCTGTGCAGTGTCAGAACTTGCATAGAAGTTTGCTTATCCTGCAGAGGTGTGGCTTGCGGCACCTAAAAACCCTAAACCCTAAGCCTACGATCATCAGCTTGAGGCCCCTGCAAGTAGATCAAGGACAGGTAAAGGACTATCCATGCCTTGGCAATGTCTGGCTGCGTAAGAGGAGGACTAGGGTTTAGGGTTTAGGGGTTTAGGGTTTACGGGGTTTAGGGTTTAGGGGTTTAGGGTTTAGTGGTTTAGGGATTAGGGGTTTAGGGTTTACGGGGTGGAGGACTAGGGGAAGCACTCTACGATCTTGAGAGCCAATTGCTATGATCACCCTGTCTGGTTATGTCCTGCCATGTTTAGCCCAGCAGAACCCCTGCTCTGTGAACCCAGGACACAGAAATATCGGAACCCCACACGACACAATGACGTGTATGTATAATATATATATACACATATATGTAGATATATACTACCCATTCAAAGAGAAATCCTACCTACAACATGACGTATACATCACGTTAACTCCCATAGGAACCAACAAAGGCCGCGTGAACCCTGCAATAAAACATCTGGGACCGCGGCACAGAAGGTCAGCACAACCTCCAGAACCATGCGGGACATGTGGTGACACCTGGGATTTTGCAGAATGATGGAGCCCTCTATGCACGGGGTCAGCAGCGGCGTATGTAAGACACATCTTTGCACGAAACTTGTTCAAGTCAGGTTCTCTAGAATATTATTTCTTGGGCCCCAGGAATACAGACCATCTTAGTTGCGGGGACGCGAATTCTGAGCTATTTTCACCTCCTGCCGGCCATCCTGTGCAGCTTGCTTAAAACCTTTCCTGATGTCTGCACTAGAGCATAGGGCCAAAGACTGATCTCAAGATGAGCCATAGCGCAATTTGGGGCATGGAGGCTTAGAACTTCACTTAGAGCTGGAGTTCCCTGTCGGTCCGTGCTGTTTTTGGTGTCGCCGGCGCGCATGAAAATCAAAGCAACACTGCAAATGCTCTGGAACACACTTTCGCGGAGGTACAGCCGTCTTACGCCGGCGTCTCCAGTGCCAAACGTCTTCCGTCTAATGAAGTCATGAGGATAGGCAGTAAGCCGCTACATACTTGCTGATGGGGGTAAGGGGGTGTACGATAGGGGTTATATAGGGGATATCTTGGGATAATGGAAAAGAAAATGTAAACCACTATCTATTTTTTTTTCTCGGACCTTTTCTCTTCGCAGTACTTGTCTCCAGAAAGATGCCATGTAGGCACGGCCCCAGAATGCATCTGGCCCAACTGGAGGCAGCAGACATAGGTTATGCAGCCCCTCAAGAAGACCCAAATTTAGGGTTTAGGGTGTAGGGTTATATGGGCTCCGGACAGAGGCTGGTAACCTTCGAATAGAACGGAAGTGTCCCCTTCAGCGGCTGGCGAATCGTATGCTGCTTCTTTTGGTTCACACGCATAACCCTAAGGTTCCAGGTACCTAATAATCATATACTTACCCAAAACGTATACTATCTACATATATATATATAGACACTATACCCAAAACTCAAGTACCTAACTATCGGGTACTCCGACCCTCTGGGTAATACAGCCCCTAGATAACGTAGAGGGCACCCGAAAAGGCAGCCCTAAGTGTTGGAAACCTCCAGGTCGCTTTCCTACCATTACTAACAAGGGGTCAGCATAGGGCACCGGCATCCAGCAGTAGATAAGGACAACGACCGAGAGAACCGGGACCTGAAGATCTTGGCATCTGGAGTTTGGAGTCAAAATTAGTATGGCGTCCATACAGGAATTCTGTAGGGGTCACAAAACAATATAGGAACTACATGCGAGTTGCATGGGGACACCATCCCAATAATGGAGAATCACATGGGAAAACTACTGGGAAATTGTATTCGAACTGGTGGCTTGTAGGGACACATAGAGTTTAGGGTTACCTTGCTGGTTGCTAGTAGGGGAATGTAGGAAATCAAGGACTGGAATGATCATGACAAAGCCAGCATTCTTCAACTACGCTACTAGCGAGAGGCATCATAAGCCTTGCGTCTCTGCTAAACTTGACAACCGACCTTCACGCGGCATTTGACAGCATGCGATGCAGTGGCAAGAGGTATAATCTTACACCGGCTTGTCGTAGCAACTGTAGTTTAAACTCCTGAAAGGCGGGTTACACATGGGATTATCTATACCATGATAGGGCTTATAAAGGGGGATGCTGGGAGTTTAGACTATAGCTCATCCGCTCTTGTTCGTACCCTAAACCCTAAACCTGCTCATATGGTAATTTCCCAAAATAGAGCGAACCCAATAAAGACCTCAAAATGCTATAGTCCTTCTTATGGGGACCCCCAACAAGGTACCCTAATTTGGGGAATCCCCGATATCAAGTAGGGCAAGGCCCCGGCGCCAACAACAATGGCTATAAGCGGGATGACGGAGGTCCAAGCACCGAAGCCCGACGGGAAGTCCTCAAGACTCACCAGACATGTGGAAGGTCATGAAGTTCCCATGTTCGGTATTTTTGAGGTAGATATAGGGGGTAACATAGGAGATGTAATCCAATCATGGAGAAGCAGTTGGACAAGAAAATGGAACATGATATGGAACGAAAGGTAGTGTTATGGTCAAAGCTAGATGCTTTTCTGGGCATCCCGTGCAGCAGGGTCCGCATACGTCCTCGCAGAGATCTTGAGCCTTTGGGAACCCTAAAACCTACATAGAGGAAGTTCTGCAAAGAGGAAGTTAGAATGCTAGTGGATCTACCCAGAGGAATGAATCTTGGGTCTGCCTTGGCATGAAGACAGAGGAGAATCATATAGGGGTATATAGGGATTATATATCGTTACATCGGGGTTACACCTCTTTGGCTAGGATCCTTTTTTAAGGAAGTGCATTCCCAATGGTCACTTCTGTACAAGGACCTTTAGAACACACCCCACATGTTCATTAGAAACAGTATCCCCTTAATCGTCCCCTACACATTCTTCCGAAATGAATTCATCGACCGGACAGGAATGAAGGGCCTCTCCGAAGCGGGGCAGCGAGTTTCCGCCGTCCGAACCCTGAACAGCATGCAGCGGATTGGGGAGCGTTAGATGCCTTAGCTGGGGAAAGCTCAAAGTGATGTTTGCAATTTGTCACATACCGATATACATCTTGAGTCTTGCGTGAAAATTGTCTCTGCTGATTTGATGGGTAGAGAACAGTAAGATCCCGCTGAATAGAGAAAGAGAGAGAGAGAGAGAGAGCATATTATGATCTCTTGAGCGAATCTGAGCCGCATGCATCGCACCTTTGGCAATGCACTGCTGGGGCATCTGACTGGGCCACGCTGTATTGCAGGAGTGAGAGAACTTTATTACAAGTGTTCTATCACTGCTGTTCCGGTTCTGTGGAGACGTCCATTTGCGAATTCGCATCGGAATGAGCATCTTACCTTACCTTTAGAGATGGAATTGCAATGCAGTTACAAGCAATCGCGGGCCCCAAAGCGGAAGGGCGGGCAGGTCTGTAAATTGTCGTCTCTTTTGTTGTGTTTTGCTATGTAGCCCTTGCAGACACGGCACCATGATTCTGGCCATCCTCTGTCGCCCTCATGACTCCCTTGATTGCCATGACAGATCCGGCGAAGGCGC